AGCCATGGTATTCCGGCTGCTCACCTCTGTGTGTAATTATAAGCCCCAAAGCTTGGGGGAAGCAAGCTTGCCACGCCTGACAAGGCTTGGAATGGGTGGGTGGGTGGGTGGGTTTTGGTGTGTTTTGGACGGGGTTGGGCGAGTTTTGAAAAATTGCGTCTTACTATTATTTCACTTGTTGTGGTTGACCCAACACCACTCCTTAAGATTATTCTTTGAACTTTAAATACTTGACTGTGCAAAGGCTTTCTAGGGTTGGAAGGAAGAGCCGTGGGAAACCCGTAGGAAATCCAGGGAAATCCAGAGGAAACCCCGAAGAAACCCAGTGACTCAAGTGGTTAATAAAAAGAGAGTTCTTGTATAGGGGGTCCAAATGATCTACTTAGTTTTAAACTGGGGCCGTACTATGTTAAGGGAAAAGGAACGCTGTTGATCCGTCGGAACAGTTTACTTCCAGGCCTCGGCGCATGCATGGCATGCACACAAAGCAAGACACATGTGCCCATGTAGGTATACGGTAGTAGACTATACAGTAAGCTATATTGTAATTCTAACATAGCATACTACCGAGTTCCCAGGCTTTGGCGCCCATCGTGTGCACCCTAAAGGGGGGGTGTTTGAAGGCTGGCTGTCCAGCAAACACAAGTACAACAGACATAATACTACTGCACTACCCAGGCGATGCCGTAGTATGCATGCATCATGAGCAGCAGATGGACAGCCGGGGAGAGCAAGGGGAACAGCTGATGCGCATGATGCTGGCCTCGGGGGGCCAGCATCATGAGCATCAGGTGGTCCGGCCGGGCGGGGCCGAAAAGTTGCGCGGAACGACCGTGACAAACGTGCGCGCGGGACACCCCAAGGCCGTCCAAGGGCCAAGGCCAATGCGCATGATGCTCGCTCCAGGGCGCCGGAGTTTGTTTACAGAACATCGCCAACCGCCGCAAATACCGTTGAAAACGCGGGTTACGCGATGCAGCTACGGTTGGAGCCGAATGCGATGATGCTGAAGCAGGCCCCCCATGTTCTGCAAATCCTCTGGCGCAGCCTCCTATACCCCCGCAGTCTCCAGCTTCCTCCATTGAAGAGAGGGTGCATGGCCTCGAATTCCTGCGGCACTCGCCGCCCGCGAACGTTCACCGGAACCTGCACCGTGTGAGAGCCAAGCACACCGCAAAGCTGAAGCTCTGCATCAGGGGCCCGAGTTGCATGTCAAGCTTTGGCCACTGCAACTGCAAGGCGCAAGGCATGCCTGAAGGTTGACGTAGATCCTTGCAGTGCGGTTGTGCAAATCCTGGTACCTGCCGAACAAGGATGGGGGCCACTTCAAGCAGCTGTCTAGGCAGAAGAATGTTGGCTTCTGGAACAAGGGCAATACGGTAGAATCTTGGGGGCACCTCGTCTCGCAGACTTTGATGGGAAGCACAAACATGGGTGATGCCAGCACCTGGCGACTCACCCTTGGACAGGGCGAACAAACCTCGCTTTAGGCTTTCGTCGGTTGCTTGGACTGCCAGCTGCCCTGCCTGAATGTCAAAGGTAGGCTCCAGAATCGTCACGTCCATCGGAGGGCTCATGCGGCCCATGAGCCGCCGGCCAAGCTCCTATGTCAACTGCTCGGGGATAGAAAATTAGGGCATCATGCCAGCTTGAAGCACTTTGCCTGTCTGCTCGCTATGATTTCGAATGCTGGGGCCCGCGCAACAGTTTCATTGCTGCAGTTTGTGTCGTTGAGAACACACGGAGCTTCCTTGGCAATCTCCAGACTTGAGGCTGCAGGTGGGGGCCACTGGGCTATCCTAATGCTGGCCACTGGCCGGAGTTCAACAGCACGTACCTGCACAGACTGCTCAGGATGGGGATGGGGCCGTGGTCGTCGAGCTGGTTGTCGACGGCATATCCTTCGCGTTACTTGGCTTCGCTGCTGAAAGGAGGGCCCTACTAAGGCAAGTTAGACATAGCGAATGAGCAGGCCCGCCTCGCAGCAGGTCTCGTTGTCCAGCTCTGAGCAGGCGTCTCGGTCGGCACACCTCCCAGTGCGCATACATCAGAATAAAACACGCGAGGTTGACAGTGGTGATACAGTAGGATCGCAGCTCCTGTAGCGCAAAAACCTGGTGGCCTCGTGTTTTCGGGATCCTAGTCCTATACTCGCAGGCGTACTTTGACGCCGATCTGATGTCGAGCAATTGTGGACGTGCTGGCCATTTGCACTCAACCGTTCAACCGCACGGCTCGAGTGGCGGCTGTCTTGTCCACTTCATTACGATGAGCGGAAAGGGCCGGCCAGCATCGTCTTGGGCCTTCCGGTCTGAGTCCGCGAAACCGCACCGGCGGTAGAAGTTCCATGCTGCAGTGTTCTGTTCGTTCACCTCCAAGGTTAACGACGTCCGTCCGGACTTGGCAGCATCCATAAGTAAGGTCCCTAAACCCTGGCCGCGGTGTGCCGCATCAACAAACAGTGCATCGATGCTGTCTCCCGTCATGACCATGAAGCCCATCGGCCTGTCTGTCTCATCAACAATGACATCTGGCTCAACATTTGGCAAAAACTTCGTCTTCACCTCCACGGCAATCTCAGCCAATGCCTCCTCGGAAAGGAAGCTGTGCGTTGCCCGGACAGAAGCATACCACAAGTCAAAAAGCAGCGGCTCTTCGTCTCGCCGTGCTTTGCGAATCACATAAGTGCTTCCCATTGCCTAGATGGCCGAGCACTCGCACCCTTGTGATGCTGCGGTTCCAACTATGCATGTGCTTTGCCCATTCGACTTCCATGCCATTGCAAAGCCTTGCAGTGTTATGCACGGTTTACGTCCTGTTTGGCATCGACAGCATATTTTGCCACCCTTGCGTCTGAAGCTCCAAACATGGCACAGAGGATGGGATTCTCTCCCCAGCTCACTTGCTCCAAACCCGTAGATTCTTACAGCTGCAGGCCTTGGCAGCCCCTCCCGTGCTCGGCCTGTACCAGGTCGCATTGTCGATCAGCTGCCTCCCCTCTCCGCAGCTGAAGTTGTAGTCACCTTGGCCCAGCCGAGCAGTAGTGCCAAACGCACGCACCCAAGCTACCTGTTCGCATGTCAGTTTGAAGCACTTTGTGCTTCCGGGGCGCCGCAAGTTGCCGCCGCCGGGATCAGGACCGAACGGTTTCCCTGCCCACCCACTTTGCATATCGAAGCGCAAGGCAGGCTGTTCTTCTTGAAGGTGCTGCCTGGCCTCCACGATCTCTGGCCTGTCGAGGAAAAGGCCCTCATCCACCTCGCCGGCTCTCAAACCACGACGGCTCTAGCCAAGGCGAGGCTCTGCTGGGCTCCGAGCGACCAGGCGAAAATCTCCCCCAGCAGCAGGGAGAGGGTTGGCCTCCCCGCCAGGATAGCGGTCCAAGTGGCCTCAAGGAACCGTCTGACTCACGAGGCTTTCTGTTCTCTTGCAGCCGTGACTGCGACCTTCGCGTTCCGAGACGTTCTTCGAGTTCCGAGACTTCGACACCGTTCTGAGCCCTGGGCTGAGGTGAATCATCGCTTTGAAGGGCAGTTCTGGATCGAGCGTCACCTGGGGAATTTGCACGATCACTCTTTGCGCTACTGAAGTCTGGTGAGAGAGGCGGTGCAGAGCGCCCTGCCTGGCCCTCTGCTGGAAGCCTCCAAAGCTCTCGTCCTTCAAGGTCCTGAGGGATCTGAGAGTGAGAAGCCGCCTAGGCCCTAGGCTCGAAGGCGATAAAGGGGACTTTTGCCGCTCAGGCCTGGAAGGTCAACTCTCGGTTGCCTCATAGCAGAGCCGCAACTTCTCCCGTGGCCCTTTGCAAACATCGGAGCTCGGGGTCCCCACTGGTGTTCAGCTCCAGAATGCGCTCGTTCAGGTACAACCTTTGTCACCACAAGATGCCGAAGGCCAAGAGTCCACCATAATCCACCTTCAACACCTTCTGTAGAACAGCTGAGCCTCGAACTCTATGTCTGACAGCTTGGTAGGGTGGCATCGCCACTCCTGTGGCTTACCAGTTGTGGTATACAGAGCGAGGATGGGATGGCCAGCTAAATCCGTTGCAGTTCTGCAGCCTTCAACACCGATGGCATCTCCTCTTGCAGCTGGCGGAACAGGATCCCTTCAGCGGTCCTGCATAGAGTTGAAGAGGATTCGCCTGCAAGGTAAGATGGACACGTAGATCGTACAGAAACCTTGGATTCCTGCACCTCCTACGCCTAAAGGCCCCAGCAAGCCGAGTCCCTGGCAGCTCCGTGACCGCCAAGCGGAACTCAACGCCCCCCTGCTGAATTGCTCTTGGAGCTGTCACACTCAGTACCATCACCGTCCGTGCACGGACGACGGACGCTTTTGTTTTCTGCTGCACGGGGCTTGAACGGCTTGAACCGAGCTTTTGAGAGGCGACTGTCGTTGCACAGGCTTCTGTGACCCGTCTTGCAGACCTTCGATGGATCTCTCTGCACAGACAGCGCGAACGATCTGGATATCGATTCGCCATTCGGCAGGAAGTCTGACGTCAGCCGGCATCTCAGCAACCTGTGACGATCCTGTGCACGCCAGCCGCTCGCCACTCGCCGCATGGCTTGAACGTGTGCTTCTTCCTGACACGCTGGCTCAGCACGACTGCATCCAGCGCAACAGTTGCTTGCAAATCGAACAGACCTTCCCCGCCTGTTGACAAAGACCATCAGCCGCGTGCCAGGATGTTGTGAACGCGGCTTCCAGCTCACTCAGCCTCCACGCCATCTGGATGCAGGACTAAGTGACTAAGCCCAATCAGATGCTTCCGCGAAGGTCGAAGAATGTGTCTGGCCTTGCCAGCGTGCGGTGCCATCAAGAAGCTGAGACTGCACCAGGTGACAAACCATGCGGCGTAGCCACAGACTAACCTGCAGCTGAAACCGAGAGTCGAGCAGCGAGTTTGATGCGACTCCCCGAAGCAGCCCTAGAAGCTTTCGAGGCGCATAGCAACCATTCCGAAGCCAGCCCGCACCACCAGGACCATGGCCACCGCGAATCCCAGGGTGCCTGAAACGAGGGAGAAGGGAACCGACAAGGGCAGGTTGTATCATGTTGCATCTGCTTCAGTAATTTGGGGGCAACGTACCTCTCTCGATTTGTTCAGGATGGAACACTTGTCGCGTTGTCATCTGCAGTTTCACAAAATAGCAGAACTTGAGAATTGCCGTGTCCTGTTTTATGGGCTTTTCTGGAAACAGCCAGGGACGGTGATGTGGGACGGTGATGGACGGTGCTTGAAAGAGCTGGGTCAAGCGGAACCCATCTGAAGCACACCCGACACATTCTTCGCGAGTCTCTTGCTGGAGCACCTGCAGCGCCCCGGACCACAGACTCGGAAAACTCAGCCAACGTGGCCTGACAGACGAGGCTTCGAGCTCCAGAAGCTGGCTGCGCTCTTCTTTCGCCGTGGCCCGCTCCTGTGAAGTCTCAGGCTTGCAGGCCACCAGGAAGAGCGCCTCTCGAGGAGCGTCTAGCAAATTCGCCATGCTCAGCAAAAGCAAGCGCAAAGTGCACTTCCACTGCTGGGCACCAGCGGAACACCAGTGGGAAGAGAGGCAGCCACAGCAGACAGTTGGACCTGTCTGCAAGAAATGCGCTCAGTCCTTGTCTCTGCTAGCGATGTATCTTTGCAAGATCAGCGCTGTGCGTCTGCGCAGTCAAACTTGCAAAGTGTTCAGCAGCTTTCCGAACCTGGAGAGAATCTATGCATACATATATATATATATATATATACTTATATTTATTTATTTATATTTATATTTATATTTTTTATGGGGAGTCATCTATAGTCTGAAAGTGTGGGCAGATGATGGCAGATGCTTACGGCCTGTGGTGTTCGCAGTTTCTGAATATTGATACTGTTCAAGAGATCTAGGATCTAAGCAGGTCAAAGCCATTGACTGAGGAGTCTGCATTCCCACTTCGGCTTGTTGCTTCCACTGCCAGTAGCACGGCAATGGTCACGAGCACGGATCCATAATTCTGCAGGAGCTCCAAGCCCATGGCCCCAAGCCCCAATCCAAAAAAGAAAGCTCGAGCAAACTGCTGCAGAATTCTTTCCTCCTGCTAGGGCAAGGCTGGCATCTACATCGGTCCCTGTCATCCGTCTTATTCAACTGGCATCGTCAAGGCACCCCTCGCAACAAAAACACTCGTCCCTGAGCGGAAGAGAGGGGTGCTAAATCGATGGAGCACATGCCAAGACAAAGCCAGAACTTGCGAGCCGAACTATGAATGGGCGTGAGGAACACTTCCGAACTGCCTCGCTGACGGTGTTGAAGTCTTCAGCCTCACGTCTGTCGCTGGCACTGCCGAGCTAGGCTTACCCAAGGAATGGGAGAAAGAAACTGTAGATTTCGGTGCATGCTACGGAAACACTTGCACATCGAGGCTACCATAGCTGCTCCACCGACCACATCCCACTCCCCAGCATGTCGCCGTTCTCATCCCTATCCTAAGCCGTCGGCAATCAAAACGCCGTTCGATCCAACCACGGCAGTCTGATTTGCGGCAACCTCAGCGGATCTCAACGCGGAGTCGAGCCTGGATGTCCGACTTTCCCAAGAGGCCAGTGTCTGAAAGAGAGGCGCAAGCAGAAAGGGACCCGTAACGTGCTAGCTGCTGCGAGGCACCCAGAAGGTGGCCCCTTCGGCCAATGGCAGTGGGAAGGGATTCAACATCACCATGTTCCGGACCTAAGCACTTTCCAGTCTGACAGGTGTCTGGCATGGGTGTGCATCATCTGGTCTTTCTCTTTCAGACACGAGACGTTTTGCGGGTCAACGATAGCTCTCCTTCTTCCCGCAGATGCAGCCGGCATGAGACAAGCTACACTGCGGTCACCGGTATTGAGGCCACCACGAAGAAGACTTCCTCAGCGGCCCGAGCCAACTCTCACATCCAGCTCCGATCCGGCCTTGTAGAGAGCTTTCCTTGCTGAGCCAGGCACCTCAACGGGAACCTGCAACAGCTCTGGGAGCTTCGCTTTGTTCGAAACCGTCCATCTCTGATGTCTGCCCCCCGACACTGGAGTGTCCAAGTTCGGGCTAGAGCACTAGCCAGCCAATGAAGTGGATCGCAACCAACAATTCGCAATGCAGTCCGTCATTGGAATCGTCATCTGCTTCTACTTTGCACCGCACTGCTCAGTGCGAGATGCAGTCGCACTCTCTGGAGAAAGCAGCGAAGAACAGATTAAGCGGCGTCCCACCTCCTTTATGAACACCGCCTCCACAGTCACGTTTTCACCTCGGCATCTGTGAATCCGCAGCGCGCTTGCTGCCATTTCGGCTCTCGTCTGCATTACGGGCGATTCGATGCATGAAGAAATTCGGAACACTGGCCGTGAGTCGACACATGTCAAGGAAAATCTGTTATCTCCACTTTCAGTCGGGGCCAGAGCCCGAAATCTCCGTGTGCCAGATGTAGATCTGGAAGAAGCCGGTTCCGGCCTGGTGCACACGTGAGGAATCGTGAGGATATCAGAGTTTGGTGTTCCGCCCGCCCCAATCACGAACTTGTTTCTTCTCAGGTTCGAGTACTTTGTGCACGGCCATGGGTGCAGGGGGCATACTCGCCAGATCTAGCCAGTTTATGGCTTGAGGTTTGGGGTTCTGTCTGAAATCTAAATTGATCTTCGCCGCTGAGTCCTTACGGCACCTGAGCATGGAGCAGCTGACTCTGGATGCAGGGAGCCTCGACATCGAAGTCGAAGATCAACGGAGCAAATCCCACCTCCCCAGACTGAAGACAAACGCAGGATTCGTGACGAGCCCAAAAATGTATTTCCTCCTGCATACTGCACCCCGCAGCCCTCGTCATGCTGGCAGCTGGACGAGCCCGTGAAAGCCGACTGCAACCGCACGCGTAATTGGCCAGCCTCCGGATTGACATCGACGGCACCTGCAAGGCAGGTCTCTTCCGGAGAAGAAGGATTTCGGAGGTGTCCCCTTGGGTCCCAAATCAAACTGTGCTGAGGCCTCGTGGCATTTCCAGGCGCGGCCGCGCTCCGAGCCGTGGGACCACGGCGCTGCGAACACCGAAGTCGCTCTCCACTTCCTGCTTGCGAAACGATGACTCCGAGAAGCAAGGAAACCCACAAGCACTGCACTCGAGCACCTTGACTGGCTCGTCGAAGATCAGCAGTACCGACTCCATCGCGGGATCCTGAACGTACGCACCACAACTGCCATGCAGGACGTGACGCGCAATATTCTGGAGGCACCGACATGCTGACCGTGCCTAGCCCTTCTACTCCCCATGGCCGATGTTTTCAGCATTGCAGCAAGACAGCTCCTATTATCATGCAAGACGACGCAAAGCCGAGGCCCGTGCAATGTGGCCGGAGTTGTTTGCTGGCTCTGATGCCGCCAGCACCTTAGCAAGCCACTCTGCAGGTCTCAATTCACTCGGCAACGGGTGCTGATCGGCCACGAATGGACTAGAACTTTTTTTTAGGGCGGCCCTGCGCGCTCTGTGCGTGCGCGCTTTGGCGCCATCTCAAAAGACGATTTCCGCAGCTCTTTGGAGATTATTACATACTTATGTTGAGGAGTACTGGCTGAGGGGTGGTCCGGCTTCCATAGTTAGGGGTAGTTCCTCTTGGTGATGACTTCTAGCCAATATGGGAATTGCATGCCCCTTCTTCTGCCTGTGTTA